GGAAGGAAGGAAGGAAGGAAGGAAGGAAGGAAGGAAGGAAGGAAGGAAGGAAGGAAGGAAGGAAGGAAGGAAAGCAGCTACAGCACTTAGGCATTTACTACTTCATAGTGATTTACAGTCCCCTCCAAGCAGTTTACAGAGTCAGCATATTACACCGCCCCCCCCAACAATCTGGGTCCTCATTTTACTGACCTCGGAAGGATGGAAGTAAACTTTGAGCCTGGTGAGATTTGAACTGCTAAATTGTAGGCAGCCGGCAGGCAGCAGAAGTAGCCTGCAATACTACATTCTAACCACTGTGCCACCACGATAGATGATAGATAGATAGATAGATAGATAGATAGATAGATAGATAGATAGATAGATAGATAGATAGATAGATGATAAACAGGCAGACATAGAGAGAGAGACAGACAGGCAGGCAGGCAGGCAGGCAGGCAGACAGACAGACAGACAGACAGCAATAGTCCTTAGACTTATATCCCGCTTCACGGTACTTTTGCAGCCCTCTCTAAGCAGTTTACAGAGTCGGCCTGTTGCCCGCAACAAGCTGGGTCCTCATTTTACCCACCTCGGAAGGACGGAAGGCTGAGTCAGCCTTGAGCCTGGTGAGATTCGAACTGCCAAATTGCAGGCAGCCAGCGGTCAGCAGAAGTAGCCTGCAGTACTGCCCTCTGACCACTGCACCACCATGTCAATTTTACTTCTATGGACTGTGTGTTAGAGTGGGGAAGCCAATAGCAAATATAGGTAATCCTCGCAAATTGAGCCCAACATTTCTGTCGTTAAGAGAGACATTGGCTTGGTGAGTTTTGATCCATTCTTCCACCTTTCTTGCCACCATTGTTAAGCGGAATCACTGTGCTTGTAAAATCAGGAAACACGGTTGTGAAGGGAATCAGGCTTCCCCATTGATTTTGGCCATCAGGAGGTCGCAAAAGAGAGTCCATGTGACTCCTACGATACTGCAACCGTCATAAATAGGAGACACCTGAATTTTGGTCACTGACTGTGGGGATGCTGAAATGGTTGTACGTATGAAAAATGGCAGTAAGTCACATTTTTCAGTCCCGTTGTGACTTCGGAAATGTATATTCCAGTTATCGTATTTTTTCTGGCATTATGCCTAACAAAAATAGTTCTGGCTTATTATTTCTTTTGGGAATCATAAACAATAAATATAACAAGGCGGTGATTTACCTAACAATACATATTATTATGGTAGCAAGAATGGTCTTTGCCCCAAACTGGGAAAACAGGGAAATTCCACAAGAAGGAGAAGTAATTAGGAAAATTCTGACTTGTGCTGAAATGGATAAATTGATGTGGGAATTGAAGAACAAAGACGAATCAGAATATTAGGAGAGGAACAATGGAGGACAAGGAGCTGACTCAGGAAGCAAAGCACACGTGGATGTTGAATAGCAATAGCAATATCAGACTTATATACCGCTTCATAGGGCTTTCAGCCCTTTCTAAGCGGTTTACAGAGTCAGCATATTGCTCCCACAGTCTGGGTCCTCGTTTCACCCACCTCGGAAGGATGGAAGGCTGAGTCAACCTTGAGCTGGTGAGATTAGAACCGCTGAACTGCAGATAATAGTCAGCTGAAGCGGCCTGCAGTACTGCACCCTAACCACTGCGCCATCTCGGCTCTTGCCAAGGTGAATGGCCCCTCCCTGGCTGGGGAATAAATAGAAGGAAAAGGGAGTGGTGGTCGTAGGAGACAACAGTTCGTATTTCTCTGGGGCAAATTTTATCAATGGTTGGAATAAAAAAAGGAAGACCCAAAATAAGCAATGACTAAGATTTATAGAATGGAGATTAGAATTATGTATGAAACTATAACAGTGAAAATGTAAAAACAAAGCAACATGGTTGGAATTGCGATATTTTTATATTTGTAAATACTAAATAGACCAAATGTAAATCAGCATGGGGTTATCATGTATAACTTTATATTCTAGTGTGTACAGCAAAGACTTTGCCAGGATGGTAACACTGTGTCCAATGTTTTAATTTGTATTCAATAAAAAACTTTATAAAAAAAATAGTTCTGCTTAAAATCTACATGCCACCTTAAAAAAAAAAAATCTCACCACGTACGCATTTTCGCCCAATTTATGTGCCTGGTTTCTGATTACATTTCCAGGACATGTTTTTAAAGATTTTTGCTAGTCTTGCTGGTGGTAAGTGCTGTCTTTCTTAGCACTGGAAAATTCTGCTCAAGTTTGTGGTCGTAAAGCAAGGACTTCCCGTAGGAAAGGGAGGCTTATTCCCAAATTTCAAGTGCTGGAAGAAAAAAAAGCTATGAGCATTAAGAACGCATGAAATTCCCGGTATTCTAATTGTGGCCGTAAGTCATGGAGCAGCTGAACTCTTATAAAGTTTTCCTGTATCAAAATGCCCAGGATAAGTCATAGTTTCGGGACACGGTGACGTAGTGGCTCAGTGGCTAAGACGCTGAGCGTGTCGATCGGAAAGGTCGGCAGTTCGAATCCCTAGCGCCGCATAATGGAGTGAGCTCCTGTTACTTGTCCCAGCTTCTGCCAACCTAGCAGTTCGAAAGCACATAAAAAATGCAAGTAGAAAAATATGGCGTTGAGTCATGCCGGCCACATGACCACAGAGGCGTCTTCGGACAGCGCTGGCTCTTCGGCTTTGAAACGGAGATGAGCAGCACCCCCTAGAGTCGGGAACGACTAGCACAGATGTGCGAGGGAAACCTTGACCTTTACCTTAAGTTGTAGTTTTCATGGGCAGAGAAGTGAACTCCATATTCAGCCCTGGATTTCGGAGAGCCAAGAGCTCCGATGTTTCCAAAGCAAATTGCCTGTGGACCATTAATGCATTAATGTGGTGGAAATCACCCGAAGAGCATTTTAAGAAACACGGCGGGTTATTAGTAAGAGAGATTTCATACGGTGACTCTCCAAACCTTGAGCCAGGCGTCTCCTTAGTGCTCTCCCATGCCCTCTGCTGCTCGTAAGAAAGTCATCTATGCTCAAAATAAACAGGGCATACAAAGAGTTTCGAGACTCGTTAGAGATGGCCCTTGAAGGAAAAAGGAACGTTAATTTGAAGAAGACGATGGTGTCACAAAAATTAAAATTGTGGTCATCGAGGCTCTGCCAAGAAGCAAGAGCCCTGGAACATGGCATTCAGTTTTGATCACCACAGTATAAAAAAAAAAGATGTGGAGACTCTGGAAAGAGAGCAGAGAAGAACAATAAAGAGAATCAGGGGACTGGAGGCTAAAACATACGAAGAACGGTTGCAGGAACTGGGTATGTCTAGTTTGATGAAAAGAAGGACTAGGGGTGACATGATAGCAATGTTCCCATATCTCAGGGGCTGCCCCAAAGAAGAGGGAGTCAAGCTATTCTCCAAAGCACCTGAAGGCAGAACAAGAAGCAATGGGTGGAAACTAATCAAGGAGGGAAGCAATTTAGAACTAAGGAGGAATTTCCTGACAATGAGAACAATGAATCAGTGGAACAATTTGCCTCCAGAAGTTATGAATGCTCCAACACTGGAAGTTTTTAAGAAGAGATTGGATAACCCTTTGTCTGAAATGGTGTAGGGTCTCCTGCCTGAGCAGGGGGGGTTGGACTAGAGGATCTCCAAGGTCCCTTCCAACTCTGTTATTCTGTTAGGACACCATGATGGTTAGGAAGCCAAGAGAGATAAATTCTGCGAGAAAGTTTCTAGTACGACATTAAGTCTTCAGTGATTTCTAAAGGCAAAGATAGACCAAGGGCTGTCTTGACAGATGGGACATGTTCCTCCAGGTTTATGCTCCATCATTGGAGGTCTTCAAGAAAAGTCTGGACAGCCGTTTGTCCAGGATGCAACAAGATCTCCTACCCTGATCAGGGGGTTGGATTAGAAGACCTCCAAGGCCCCTTCCAGCCCTGTGATTCCATATCCTGGGCAGGGGGTTGGACTAGAAGACCTCCAAGGTTCCTTCAAACCATGGGATTCTAGGTCACCAAAGCAGAACATCAACATGGCTTCCTAGAGCAGAGATCTCCAACCTTTGCAACATTAAGACTTATGGACTTCAACTCCCAGAATTCCCCAGTCAGCCAGCACGGTATCCAACCTGCAGCATGGCTGGCTGAGGAATTCTGGGAGTTGAAGTCCATAAGTCTTAAAGTTGCCACAGTTGGGGACCCCTGTCCTAGAGGGAGGGGGAAGAGCAAACTCTGGCTTACCTTAAGATGCAGAAGCAGGTCTTGGCGCCCGAGGACAGACGGCAGAAGCCGAACCTCTGTTTGCTGTCGATATCCGTGAGGACAAATGTGAAGTTCTGGCCCACCTGGCCCACCGTGAGGCTGGAAGTGGAAAGAAGGAAGGTGTCAATGAATAGGCTGCTGCCTTCAACCTTGGCGACTTGAAGACTTGTGGGCTTCAATTCCCAGAATCTCCCAATCTGAAGACCTGGGGGACTTCAGCTTTCAGAATTCCCCAGGTTGGGGAAATCAGGGTCTCTTGAGTTGATCTTGATCTCCAAGGTCCCTTCCAGCTCTCTTTCTGTTCCTGTTCCTGTTCCTGTTCCTGTTCCTGTTCCTATTCTATTCTATTCTTTCTATATTATCCTATATTCTATTCTATCCCAATTTCTCTTCTCTTCCCTTTCTCCCTTCTTCTCCTTCCTTCCCTTCTAATTCATTCTAATTCTAATTCTATTCCTTCCTTCCAATTCTAATTCTAATTCTTTCCAATTCCAATTCTAATTCTAATTCTATTCTATTCTATTCCTATTCTATTCTGTTCTGTTCTATCAGTTATTCTATTCTATCCTATCCCAATTTCTCTTCCCTTTTTCCCTTCTTCTCCTTCCTTCCCTTCAATTCTAATTCTTATTCTATTCCAATTTCTTTTCTCTTCCCTTCCTCCCTTCCCTTCTAATTCTTTCTCATTCTAATTCTATTCCTTCCTTCCCTTCTAATTTTAATTCTTTCTAATTCTATTCTATTTTAATCCTATTCTAATCTAATTCTATTCTATTTTATTCCTATTCTATTCTTTTCTGTTCTATTCTATCCCTTATTCTATTCTATTCTATCCTATCCTGATTTCTCTCCTCTTCTATCCCGGTTTCTCTTCTCTTCCCTTTTCCCTTCTTCTCCTTCCTTCCCTTCAATTCTAATTCTAATTCTTATTCTATTCTATTCCAATTTCTCTTCCCTTCCCTTCCTTCCTCCCTTCCCTTCTAATTCTAATTCTATTCCTTCCTTCCCTTCTAATTCTAATTCTTTCTAATTCTAATTTTATTCTATTCTATTCTAATTCTATTCTATTTTATTCCTATTCTATTTTATTCTATTCTGAATCCTATCCTTAAAAAAAATAATTTTAAAAACCAAGGCAATAGAAGTTTTCGGCTCAATTTCCTCTCTTGCAATATTCTCAAATCACCGCGTGGTCCTCTCCTTCCTCGCGAAGGGGGGGGGGAGAATTATTATCTCCGGTGTGCAGCAATCGCGGAGTGAATAGCAGAGAAAGCTATGGCTGGATAATAGAAGCCGTGTACGTACGCAAGGGCCCTGTAATTAGTAAAGGATACAACTCCTAGCAGCTTGGTGCCTCTTTCCTAAATAACAGTTTGTTTTATTCCCTGGGAGGAGCCGATTACTTGCAGCCGGCATTTCCTGAGTGCCCGTGCAGAGGGGAAAATGCATAATGTGTGTTTTAATGTATTTGGCGGCTCTGCCGGGTTTTCCCATAAATGCTGCCTCCCCCCAGCATGGGAAAATTACAGCCCTGAGTTACCCCTGGGGAGTGGTGGTGGTAGAGACCCTGACTTTGTGCCCTATAGAAGAGCAGAGGGGGATTCGAAAGACTATGCACCCAAGGGGAGCAAGTTGCTGGAGAAAGAACTGAATGCCGACCACACAAAGCCTTCAGGTAGGGTTTTTCCCCACAATACACAACCCTTGTGCACTTGTCATCCTCATCACAACTCTTGGACGTCCTACCAAAAGAGACCCCAGAGTGACCCCGAGAAAACCCATCCAGCTCAAGCTTCTAAGACCAAGAAGCCCCCTTTTTTTTCGCCATGATGTTCTTTTAAGGAGGAACACCTTTCGCAAGTTCTTCAGATGTTCTACTCCACACTGGAGGGGCAAAGGCTTAGCCTGAATGCAGGCGACTCCATTCTTCCCGTCCAATTTCAGAGGGGCCTCCCCATCCCTGGCATCTGAGCGTGCCACTTCTTTAAGGGGTGGTGGGCTCCAGAAGGATTCCACTCCATTCTTTACTCTCCATTCCTATTTCTATTTGTATTCTATTTCAATTTCTATTCTATTCTGATTTCTTTTCTCTTCTATTTTCTTCTCTTCAATTCTATTCCAATTTCTCTTCTGTTATTCTATTCCTTTCTGTAATTGTATTATATTCTGTTATTCTATTCTAGTCTGTAATTCTACTCTATTCTACTCCTATTCTTCCACTCTACTCTATTCTGTTATTCTATTCTATTCTATTCCATTCCATTCTAAATTATTCTATTCTATTCTACTCTATTCTGTTATTCTATTCTATTCTATCCCATTCCATTCTAAATTATTCTATTCCATTCCATTCTAAATTATTCTATTCTGTTATTCTATTTATTTCTATTCTGTTACTCTATTCTATTCCGTTATTCTATTCTATTATATTCTGTTACATTCTAAATTATTCTTTTCTATTCTATTCCATTCTAAATTATTCTATTCTACTCTATTCTGTTATTCTATTCTATCCCATTCCAATGCATTCTAAATTATTCTATTCTATTCTATTCCATTCTAAATTATTCTATTCTATTCTATTCTGTTATTCTATTCATTTCTATTCTGTTACTTTATTCTATTCTGTTATTCTATTCTATTCCATTCATTCTAAATTATTCTATTCTATTCCATTCTAAATTATTCTATTCCATTCCATTCCATTCTAAATTATTCTATTCTATTCTGTTATTCTATTCATTTCTATTCTGTTACTTTATTCTATTCTGTTATTCTATTCTATTCCATTCATTCTAAATTATTCTATTCTATTCCATTCTAAATTATTCTATTCCATTCCATTCCATTCTAAATTATTCTATTCTATTCTGTTATTCTATTCATTTCTATTCTGTTACTCTATTCTATTCTGTTATTCTATTCTATTCTATTCTATTCCATTCTAAATTATTCTATTCTATTTCCTATTCTACTCTAAATTATTCTATTCCATTCCATTCCATATTATTCTATTCTAATTCCTATTCTATTCTATTCCATTCTATTCTAAATTATTCTATTCTATTCTGTTATTCTATTTTGTAATTATACTCTAATTCTCTTCTCCTGTTCTATTCTATCCATTCCATCCCATTTGTTCTGTTCTCTTCTATTCGCTCCCATAGAAACTAAAAGAAAACACTTCGGCAGGAATATTTATTTATTCCTCTCCTCCCTCTTATTGACTGCACCTGCCCCATCGCGAACACTTAACTCCAGCCCTCGCAGTCACCCACACAATTTTGACACAAGAGATTGCAGCAAGACTTCCACAACAATGAAGAGAAGCCGAAGAGTTTTTGACAGTGAGAAGGACAGAGAAGAAAAGGAAAGTTATTGGCAGTTGCTGGATTCTCACCCACCGTTGGGGCAATGATGTTTGCTAGGAGCAAATTCCAAACTCTTAACTTCGTTGCAAATCGCCTGATTTGCAGAATTACCCCCCCACCCTCCACACACACACAAACAACCCACAGTTGTAAAAACTACAGGATGTTAACAGCAGAATTTAATTAATTTCTAAGACAATGTCGCTGGAAGGGGGAAAAGGGAATAGATTTGGCTGCAGATAATGCAATTAAAAAAAAATTAAGACTCCACTAAAGATCTTTTAAAAACAGGTTTAGGAAGAGCCTTAAAAGTGACCCGATCTTTATTATCCAGCAAATTTTATTTACATTACATTTTTAAAACTTTCTTTCTGATAACGTCTAGGAACTCCACCTTACCTGTCCACGTAGAAAGGGAAGCAGAACTTGGCCACGGTGGGCAGAATTTCCTGTGGAGAGAAGAGAAGGGCGAGAGGGGGGAGGAGAAAGAGATAATTTAATCCTCCAGAGGGACCAATAAATCTAATGTTAACCACACAGAAGCACAATCTTGCAAACTTTGCCCCGCAGAAAGCAGAGACAGATGAAGAGAAATATGCTTTATCAATTACACGGAAGGGGAAGAGGCCGCCAGTCAATCATGTGAAAGAACAAACACGATCAAACTTCATTAAAAATGAAAAATTAATCAAGATTCACACATGGGTAAGCAGCGGGGGCTCCCCACGGCAACCCTGAGTTGTGGGGGGGGGAGCGACGGGGCTGGCCTAGCGCTAACTCACCCCCAGGGAGGCCCTCTGGCCCCAACATATGGCGACCAGCAATGCCACCAGGACCAGTGAGTGGGATCCTTGGCCTCCTCCTCCT